CATAATAACTTTAATTGCTGGATGTTCGGCCCCTGAGCTGTTGGCCTGCAGTAACTGTGGCCCCCCGGAGCAATTTAGGTGAACAGCTCTGACCTAAGTCTTAAAATTCATTAGCATACAACTTTACCAGTAATAATTAAATAGGTGATCAGGCTGTGTTTCTGTTAAATAAACTAAGATGAACAACCTTCCTCCTCCATGATTGACAGGTAATATGATTCATTTGCAAACCTAATTTGTGCCTCCAGATTTTTTTYAMAGAGAAGAAACAATACTTGTAAAAGAGTAATTCTTGTTCAGTATCATGTAATTGTGCTGTTATTGACTTTAACATCACRCTGTTTGAGACCTGTACAATCAGAGATGAGGCAGCACGCTGCTGGATTGATTAGCATTGTTGCACAGATGAGAAGCTGTGCAGGTTTTTCTGTGTTAAATTTAGATGTTTTTCATCTGTGTGTGTGTGTGTGTGTGTGTGTGTTTGTGTGTGTGTTTGTCTTCCACAGACAAACACAAGCATGTCACCTAATAACTGCTAATGCTCTTAAATGGACATATTATGCAAATTTCACCTTTTTAGCTGTTAAATGCATTTTGTTGTGTACTTGGAGTCTCTAGGAGTGCAGAAAAGTTGAATTTAGTTGTGCGTAGGTATCTTTATATTCTGTTTGGGTCATACTAATCAGCCCCTTCAGTTTTCTCTATTTTCAATGTCRTTTTCTGAATTATTACGCCAAGTTATTTGCGATGGAACTGCCAAATAAGATTGCTGTTGTTGACTTCTAATTAATTTGTAAATAAAATGTTTCTGCCCTGCTACTGTATATCGTCGTAAACCCCTCTATCACACCAGAATGAACCGGTCTGGAAGCTGGTGAGGGGTGGGGGTGGAGCGCCTCGTTTGGCTTTAAAGAGACAGCCTCAAAACGAGTTGATTTGGGATGCACCTCGGAAAAGAGGGGCTTGTGGAGTTACAGTAAGGAGTGATTCAGACCAAATCATTGCAGTTCCACTTTATATAGACCCCAACTGAAGGATTTAAATGTGAAAAGCAGATTTAAAAGCGTCTCTAAGTCCTSTGGAGCATTTAACTACTTTGTTCTTGCACTGCTTATTCATTTGAGCTTTAGTTTTTTGTAAATATACAGTTACTAAAATTACTCAATATAGTATA